GAGCGGTTCCCAAATGAAGATTTTCAGGGGTAATAGGCTGAAACATGGAATTAAAAGCCAAAATAAACACAGCGTAGGAAATTGTTTCTTACTGAAAATACTATAGATACCCTAATTTAAAAGACACGTTATGAATATACCCTACTCATGCAAAATATACTTACAGAATTTGATGAAACAGTGAAACGATAAGGGAAAGAAAGGGAATGTGTGCTATTAGAAGTCTGTAAGTAATTAGTTCACTTGGAAAAACTTAGAGTTTTACTTTGCCTGTCCTTCTTTATTCTACGGTAATCTGCAGTTATTTTTAATTAATTTGGAATCACTGTTTTTGCCTGTTTAATAAGCAGAGTTACAATTGAATGTTTGTCACAGCTTCTACTATGACATTGAAAGTTTTACAATCTTACTTACAGTTTGGATTCTTAGTAGCTTTGATACCTATATATTTACAGTGTCTTTCATATCAATTCTTAGTTAAAACTTGTTTTCATTAATGACTTGTAGCACTTACAAGTATGATGTTCTATTTAAGAAAAAAACTTCTTTACAGGTCTGGGAAAAGATTAAGAATTTATGATGACCACCCTCACAGTGATTTGCAAGGACAGTTACAGTTGAGAGATTTTGATTTCATTAATAAGGGACCTGGACAAAGACGAAGACCATTTCATGACCATCAGACTCAGGATGATTTAAGAGCACCAATGCAGATGAGAAATTGGGACTACAATAGGGGACCAGGACAGAGGCAAAGACCCTTTCCTGATCACCAGTTTTACGATGATTATCAGGAAGATGTGCAGCTGAAGGACCTAGACTTCAGTAACAAGGGACCTGGACAAAGGTTGAGACCTTTTCATGGACACCAGTTTCATGATGATTTACAGGCAGAGAGACAATCGAGGGACATTGAATTTAACAGAGGCCGTGGACAAAGGCAGAGATCTTTTCCCGACTGTCCATCTCACAGTGATTTGCAAGAAGACAGGCAGTCAAAGGATTACGATTTTGGTAGCAGGGGCCGTGGCCAGAGACGAAGACCGTTCCATGACCACCAATCTCATGATGAATTTCAGACTCAGATGCAGTTGAAAGAGTTAGAGTGTGTCAACAAAGGCCCTGGCCAAAGACACAGATCTTTCCATGACTATCAGTCACATGATGACTTACAGCCACAGATGCAATTGGGAGATTTTGAATTTGTTAACAGGGGCCGTGGGCAGAGGTCGAGACCTTTCAATGATCACCAGCCTCGCAATGACTTACAAACAGAGGTGCAACTAAAAGATTATGATAATAAAGGTCCTGGACAAAGACGTAGACCTTTTCATGACCATCAGCCTTATGATGACTTACAGGAACAGACTCAGTTAAAAGATTTTGATTATGTTAATAAAGGGCATGGACAAAGGCCAAGACCTTTTCGTGATCACCCAGGTCACGATGACTTGCCACGTGAATGGTGTTCAGACAGGTAAAGCATCCTGGAGCTGTAAAGCCAGAATTAGAGAATAAAAGTGTAAACCTCAGTACTTTTAAATTAAATGTCAAATTAATTAATTTTTAAAAATAAATTAATTTTAAATCAGTTAATCATCCTTTTAAATTCATATATAAATGATCATTTAATTAACTCTTTATTTTGACTTATGGAAGGGTTTGATTGTAAGCTGGAGTGTTGCAGCTTTGAAAGTCAATGTTTCCTAAATTAGCAGGTTGTGCTTCTTTAAATTAAAGTTTATGTGTTTCCTTTACCTTTTTAGAGTCAGCTTGAAACAAAACTCTTTGTCCCACTTTGTTCTGTATAGAAACTTAAATTTAAAAAACAGTCCTCAAGACAGAAGCTGATATGAAATTTTATTTATGCCCTCAGCCAAACAGAGGTAAACAGTAATGCTACAAGGAAGTTTGACTTGCATTTGTTTATTCCATGAGTTAATAATTTGTTAGAGATCCCTTTGCTTCTGAATTTGCGTCATATTCTCCCAAATACATACATCACTTATTAGTAAACCTATTGGATTCTGACATAATATTTCAAAATATTTTTAATATTTCAGAATGTATTTCAGATACTTGTTGGGCTAGTAAAGTTCAATTTAATCACTTCATTGTACAGCTGAAACAGAGGATATTATATCATTACAATGAAGCATACCATTCTGAGGTGTTAATACAATTGACGTAGTTTTTATTAAACTTTAAAGTAAATTTTGATTAAAAGTAAAAAGATTTTTATCTCATTTGATAAATGCATATTTTTCAAAAGCTTACACCCATTTGTACTTTTCTTAACATGCAATTCTTTTGGTTATTTGCAGAAGTCAATCTTTTTCTTCCCATGAAAACGTACCAGAACCTCATTTCTCCTCATCTCCTTCACTTCACGGAGATTACGGGTCTGATAGTGATGACTTTAACAGAAGTTATAGGTAAATATCAAATTTCATACGTTGTTTTCTGACTTACCTTTATACTGTTACTCCTCCAGTTTCCCAGCTAAACAAAAAAACAACAAAGAAAACCATTAACTGCACAGTATAAAAATTGATGATAATATTTTTGCTTAAATGCAGTTTAAACCATTGAATCTGAACACTGAGCAAATAATGTGACTAATTTGTGGTCCATCTATATGGAGTTTGAGTGTGATTATGAAATGGTTTGAGAATCCCTGACATAAGTCATTGACATGACAAGCACAGTTCAAGCTAACATACTACAAAATATGAAAAGCTATGGTCAGTAAGCAAAAAGGCAAAACACAGGTGCTATATTTAACTCTTAATTGCTGTCTACAACAAACTAATGAGTTTTACTGTGAGGGATGGTCAGACACTGAAACAGGTTGCCCAGAGCAGCTGTGAAATGCCCATCCTTTGAGATACTCGGAACTCAGCTGGACATGGCCATGCAGAAACTCATCTCATTAGACCTACTTTGAGCAGCTGGCCCTAGGTACTTGTAGAGATCCTTTCCAGTCTAAATTTGTCTATGGTGCAGTGAGGGAGAAGATTTTAAAATTACAAAGATTGTTCTGAATTGGCTTTGTACACCACTTATTTTACAAAGGAAGTAACGTACTTGCGAGTATATTGTATATGCATTTTTAGATCATTCCATATGTGTTTTGTAGGACAGTGATTCTTCTATTGCAGAAGAATTAATAATTAAAATATTTGGAGATATAAATCCAAACTATATTATTGCCTGTTGAAATTGTGTATTAGAGAGCTACTACTACATGTTATTCACAAAAATGAAAACATGGGCTTAGGAACAAAAATGGCCCCTAGGTAAAGAAACCCTCAGTAAACAGGGAATTTTAATTAGAAACAGCACTGGAAACAAAACATCTTCTAGTAGAATTACTTACTATAAAGAGCTGTAATTTTAATCGCTAGAATTGGAAAATTAATATAAACAAGTTTGCAACATCCAGTAGAGAGGATTTTAATTTTAGGGGGTAAAAACAAGAATGAGGATCTGAATTGTTCTTTCAAGGTTACACAAGTTTAATTTCTAATGCTGGCCACCAACAATGAATCAACTGTTTAATTTCTAAGAATTTCACTGGTCTTATTTGTTCTTCTTACAGTAATCGACCAAATTGTCCAGAAGACAATAGGAGAATGCATCCCTCAGATGAATTTAATAGAGGAAAAAACAGATTTGCACCATATTCTTCACGAACAATGCATCCATCTTCATCTGTACACCAAGAAGATAGTTCAATAGACTATGAAAGAAAACCTTTTCAAGGTGAAACTACCAGAGAGGTGGAACAAAGTAAAAGATTACCAGTGGTAACAGTTGATTACAATTATGGTCTGCCATTAGATTATGGACCTGAAAAGGAAGAGAGAACACATTATGATTTACCTCCAAGAGACCGCTACAACTGGAACTGAATAAAAAGGACAATGTTTGCTCAGCTTAGACTTACTTTTACCCATTTTACTTTGTGTGTGGACCAGGTTTGGTTTGGTGTTTTGTTTTGTTTTTTAACAAATTAGGAAAATGCAAATTTCAGTAGTAGAGAACTAGTCTCTATTGTAAGATTAGCTTCTACTGATGTTTGGTTCTTTAAATTTATTACGATGTATTTGTTAAGTGTAGTTGGAGACAAGGTCTCAATACACATGGAATTAAAGTAGTCCTTCCTTTTAGTGAAATTGGAACCCTGTACCTTAAAACAAACAACTTTCTGAGTGATTGTAGTTGTCTTTTGTTTTACATTTCTTTAAAATGTATGTAATTTTCAGATGCAAAAGTCATAATAAAATACTGCACTATCAGGTAGATTAGCATTGAGATTATAGAAAAAATACTATGAAATGAATGAAGCAAAGTTATGTCCACTTCATCCTTTAATTTGAAAATAGCAGCTTGAATTATTGATAACAATCTCTGCAGCATTGCAGTTTAATTCCAGATTTTCTGTACCATCAACTGAACTCACCTAGTTGCACTCTTCTTCATGGCAGAATTTTTCCCAGATTGCAGAGAACATGGAAGCAAATGGAGTTTGAATACTCTAAATGTCAAACTTGCTTTTCAGTAATCTGAATATCCCATCCTGATTGTATTTTTTTTTCCTGATCCCATAGATTATATATGTTTCAGAATAGCCCAGTGCAAGTAAATTTCACAATTTTCTCAGCAACACATCCAAATGAATTAGCTCGTGTATTGCCAGCTTACCTGTCTCAAATGGCCAAGATCACTGATGCCTGTATAGTTACACTTCCTTGTTTGTCAGTCATATTTGTCTTAATCTCCAGTTCTATTTTCTACTAGTTTCTTTTTACAGCACAGCAGAGTAATGTAATCAGAATAGAAGAATAAACTCTTCAGGTAAGTTACTTTTAAAAGTCATGTATTGGACAGTCTCCTCTGAACTGCCACTTCAGTGGGTCTTAAGAAGGTAGCGCAACATATGGTAACTAAATTCATGCCAGCAGCTGCACAGTAGCACCAACAGCTTCTACTGTGGATAAACAAATCTTAGTTCATAGGATGGAAACCAGTATTAATGTAATACTTGGGTAAATTTAAAAAATTTACATTTTTCACTATTATTTCATTTTCATGAATTAATATTTTTAAAGGCATCATAGTGAATAAGGCTATAGCTAGACCATGATATTAAAATAGACAACTAAAATGAATGCTAGATACTTAAGTCATGCAGTTAAGAAACTGCCTCAAAAGTGGCATAGCTGTAAAGCATAAAGCAAGAGGGTGTAGGCATACACCAGAAAACTGCAAAAAAAAGTGTTCATAGCCAGAACCCACAGAGCTTTTTTGTCTTTTAACTAGCAGCATAAAACCCAGATTTCTTAATTCATGGTTCTACAGCTACTAAAATAAGGACTAAAAAAGCTAAATAAGGACTAGATTTGGAAAGTGTGGAACATGTGGCAACTCCCGTTGTTTTGTAACACATGCAAAATTTCCCCAAATCAAAGGATTCTGTGGATATAAATTCAAACTGCAAATGCTTCATTGCCTTTGCAACTGGTAGAACAACTTTGGCTTTGTTCATTATACAAAGTAAATAGTTTTCTCGTTTTCACAGCAGCTAGTCAATTGTATTTCCCATTAAATCTCTGATTGTGAGCCTCATTCATGTGGTCTCAGGAATGAAGCTCTCTATAAACTGGTTGTGGAACTGAGCACTAAATGTTAAGAAAAGGCATTTGTTCCTTGCCTTTTTTTTATTTTTAATGAGGGGTAAGCTGAGAATTTATCTAGGCTTCTTTTTTTGGAGGCAAGGAAGATCTGCAACTTCGGCTACTATATTGCCAGATTCTTTAAAAAAAAAAAAACAACAAAAAACCCTTCCTGGCATTCTCCAGCAGAGAGCTAAGAATTAGGGACTGGTATTACAAATGTTTGGGGTTTTTTTAATAATATGTACACAGTATTCCTACAGTGAATAAAGAGCAAACATTTCCCCTTCATATTTTTGTTTTGGGGTTTGAATTATGTTTTTTAGGATTGAAGTGACCCTACAGTCGATTCTTTGTTACTTCAGACTGGGGGTGCCAGGACTCCCTGGACAGGTGAAAAGCTGGTGCACTGGAAAGCTCAGTGCAAGGAGAAATGGGGCATAAGGAGTTAGGATCAGCACTAGCTGTTACCAGTCCTTGGTCAGTTCCTGCAGGACCCTTTGAGGGTTTAGATACAAACAGTCAGATGGTATAATTCCTGTTACCTGAAAAAATAAACATCACTTTTGTAACTATGTTGGATTCTTCTTTTCAAGCAAAATGAATAGACATGATGTTTCCGCAAATGGCTTTGAGGTGACTGCATGAAAATAACCAAAGTTGGGTTTGTGTATATATATTTTTTTTTCTTTAGAATTTACAACAAGGCTTTCCACCCTATTGTTCTGAATGGAATTAGGCAGAGTTAAGCCCACATAATACATTACAAACTGTTACTGACATTTATCTCAAATTCCACAGCTGAGTCATCGCTGCATATTCGCATCTGTAGTATTCAATTACTAATTGATCCACATGGTGGAGAATGAAATTAACTGAAATAAAATGCTGCTTGTTTTTTTAACTGAATATTGTATTACAGTGGCACTCATAACAAAAAAAATCACACAAAAAAACCCCAACACTTTTATTTATTTCACAGTTCTACAAAAATGTCATAAAATCCTGCTAGCCTCTTTTGTGTATGTTCTCAGCAAACCTAGAAATAGGTGGTGTTCTATCACAGAGCAATAAAAAGCAAGACTTGGATGGACAGTGTTGGTTTCCCATTGCCCTAAGTGTGAAATCTTGAAGAAAAACACAAGGATACAGAAAATCCAGAGGTAATACAAAATTATTTGAAGGAGTTGTAAGAATTTTTATATATATATATAACTATTGAACTCTGAACTCACAGAAAACTACTTTTTCTGTTGCTGTCCTGAAATCATGATTTAATTGGAGGCCTGATTTTTATCAGGTGATGAAGCCATGGAGCCAGCTTGCCCTGAGGTATGATCATACTGAGTTAGGAAATGTTCAGGTGGTTCCTGGAAAGTGCTGGGAGAAAGTTCAGACGAGCTCTATGCAGAAGGCCGACTGCCAAGAAGGGCTTGGGAAAAAAGAGAGGTCAGCTCCAGCAGAAAACTAGAACACAGGCGTATGACTAAATTTATATGTCGAAATCTGCATTACATATACAGCTAATTTAGTTTTGCATGTGAAGAATAAACAGTTATCTAAAAAAGGCTAGAAAGGTTTGCATATGACTATTTTTCTCTCAGTTGGGGCAAAAGATAAATGACCTACAAGGAGCCCCAAGTACAATTAGGATCCTTTCCTGTTTATTTGCATCTAAAGTAATGGCTAGCAAGCTGCAAGCTTTTTTTCATGTGCAAAAGTGATCGGTGATGTGTTATGATTCAAATCTGGGGTGCACTGCCACAACCAGTGTGCCAGGACCAGCAGTTAAACGACCTGAGCACTAGCTTCTGAAGATCAGTTCCTTCTTAAGACGTCTCACGTGAGGCATCCAGAAATGCAGACACCCCAACATCATTTGTGGTTTGGAATCTGCTCAGTGCTGTATTCCCTGTCTGGGGTTCAGCAAGGGGATATGAATCCCTGACAGTTGTGAACTGCAGTTTATTTAAAATGTGTGTGCAAACAAAAAGCAATAGCTTCCATGCTGTTATCAACCACTAGTGTTTGCTTCCTCTCCAGGCTGACTCTGATTTGTTCTAGTTGTCAGTGGACCGTGCTTTACTGGTTCCAGTGGACAGCAGTTTCCAAACCTGCAGATCCCTTTCTTCTTCTTGTGGGGAGTCAGAAAAAGGAACCAGGTGAGGAGGCAACTTGGTTCTCCTTTCTCCTGAGGTGAGAAGACAATAGGGGGCTGGGGGGGAAGGACAGGGAAAAAAATATTTTAAAAGAGAAAAATGAAGGAGGTGGGAAAATGAAAATTAAAATGTCAGGGGGAGAGAGTTACCAGTGTGAGGGAACAAATGTGCGAAAGATGCATGTGTAAAAAGCTGGTGAAAAATTACTGGGTATAAAAAGAGGGCACATGCTGGAGGAGGAGTTCCTGGCAACTTCTTATCTGGGTCTTCTAAGCTGTGCCTGTGGCTCTGTGCAAGCGCCATGCTGATGTAAATAACAGTTATCAAAAAAATACAGGAGCACTCAGACCTCTAATCCTGCAATAAAGTCATGTGGGAGCTTAAAACTAATTAAGGCTTCCCTTTAAGCTTTAAATCTAGTCTATGTGTAGCATAATATCCTGAAGATATTCCCTCCAGAATCCAATGAGAATTTCAGAGACTCAAATAAGAAACTACTCCACAAATCTATTTCACACATTAAAAACAAGCTAGGTTTTTACTGGATATCAGGAATCCCCTCATTTGAGGAATCTGAGAATCAAATCCAATTTGTTCATTACAAATACATACCTGTCTTATTGCACACTTTCAGGGCAGTATCAAAACACACTATAATGTTGCTATTACTGTAGCCATCGCACAAAACTTACGAATTAGTTGAAGTGTAACAAACAAATCTGAAGTAACTGCCTCTATAAGAAGTAAAACAAGGAAGTCAATGCAGAGTCGTGCTGAAAGCAGGAGGCATTTTCTTCCTTTATGCGGAACATTCAGGACTGAATGCTCCACAAAGGAGGATGAAAGAGCCCCCAAGACAGATAACCTTAAAAGCTGACACAGATGAGGATGATCCTCATGCAGTTCTTCAAAGGACCTCTTCTAACATAAACATAAGTTTTTACTTTGCAAGTTATACTACCAAACAAAAGTCTATACAGCAAAATTAACCCTCTAAGAAGAAGATAAGAGAGTAGAAGCTACTGTTGATATCTATTAATCACATCTCAGTCCATCTTTGGGGTGTGTTCAGATGTTCAGGGATGCACAGAGTAAATAGAAGAAAGAAAGTATAAACTGGCATTGCAAAGTGAATGCTACAGCTGATTCATCCCTGTCTGCATGCCCCAGATGAAAAATAGGACCACCATATCCTGGTATCTACATCATGTTGGAA